GACCGTGAGTCACAGACCCTGTGTTTAAATTGTGCACGTAACCAACACTGAAAATGCCTCACGCATGGCAGGCACGCATGGGGTGGGCGGGTAGGCGGGGAGAGAGCTAGACAGATGCACACATACATACACGCAAGTGTCACATTTAATAATCACAAATTAAAGCTGTATTTCATTATGTGATGCAAAATATATAATAACAATAGCATAAAACTGGTAAGAAGCTAATGCCACACTAACATGGACTTATTATAGGTTATTATATCTTTTATCTCACGGCAGTAGCCACGCATATAATTTACGGCTCACGTTTTGTTGTGAATTACTTCGTTCTTTATTAGTGTAGATGTTTTAAAGTTGATTACTGAGTAATTCCTTAAAGAGGAAGAAACTGTTCTATAGTATTTTTGTTTACATTAACTGTTTATATTTATTAATGGAAAAGGCCATAATGGACAAGTAAAATAATTTCTTTACATTAACTGTCTGAACTTTGCAGATAGACATTTTCTCTGAATATTACAAAGATAAATTGTCTCCAATTTGTTTTTTCAGTATTTTAACATATACTTATTTAAAATAATGGAAGTATTTTAAATAATGATACAATTATATTAGTAATAATACTAGAGTATAGTAACAGTACTAGATACATGTTAGTTCTCTCATTATTTCACTTTTAAAACATGCTTTGTTTCACATGAATCCTTATTTATTAAGAGCATTTTTACGAAAGAGGAACTTTTAGTCTATATTAGATAACATTTTCACATGCAGAGCTCCAAGCATAATATGTTTACAGAGGAATCTAATGTATATCAATGCTTTCCTACATTTATTTATAACATGATGGGGAAAATAAAATAAGTTCAATTTTGCATTTGGCTTCATTAATCTATAATTTGGTGGTATTTCTTTACCCTGAAACCTTACAAATTTTATGGCATTTTCATGTTTCCTTAGAAAATAGGCACACATGTATATCCTACCCAGCTTCGCACAGAATCCACATTTTCAAACCTAAGGCGTGCTGGTGGCCTGCGGTGCTCGCTTGTTAATTTCTTGATGAATGGCCAAAGAGGCCAAGGAGTGCGCTCAGTCCGACATGTCTTCCAAAGATAGATGATCTCAAATAAATTCTCTTCCCAATCAGATTTTGATTTGTTGGGTGTTAAACCAATTCTTTCTAAGGACAGTGTTTATAAGCCTTGTAATGAGGGAGCCCTCGGAGACCTCACCTCTCTTTGCCTGTAATTTTGATGAATGAAGCTCTAATTCATAAAGGATATTGTGATTGAAAAGCACTTTTGCATCTCGCACACTGTAATTTAGATAAATGCGTGCGCGGTGCCCACGGCTCCGGAAGCCAGCCGAGCCTCAGCCTGGCGACGTGCCCCCGGGGCGATGAGTTCGGCGTGTTGGTGGACTTGCTCCCTAGATGTGTTTAAGGGCATATTTGTTTTACTGTTTTAAAACTCGAGGGGATAAAAGGAAAAGGTTAGCATGCATTTTAGAGCTCACCTTCACTTTTTATTCATAGGTTTTAATTTTAAACACAAAGGTTAGATAAAAGCTTTTTTTTAATTACAAAGATCACACATGGTTGTGCTACAAGGAAAAACTTTCTTTACTGGGGCTGACTCATGTATAACGACCTCTCCTGAGTATTTTACAAAAAACGAAGTTCCCTGTCGGGCCAGCATGTAGATGCCTGCCCTCCTCCCCAGTCCAAAGGCAGGTCACCGAGAAGCTGTGAGGCACGGCGGGACGCCCACGCGAGGAAAGGCCCGGTGCCCGCTTGGCCCTCTCAGCGGCTCACCGACTCCATGTCCGTCAGGGCCTGCTCCGCGCCCGGCCAGGCCGCGCGCCGGGGACTGAGAGCCCAGGGGCAGACACCTGTTCCCCGGCCTCTGGGCCGCGTGGACACAGCAAGCAAACAATCGCACTGTGAGGCGCTACCGCCACAGCAGACTCAGGAGACGCGGTGGATGCCCAAGGGGGAGGGCGCACGTCCTACCTTGGCCGAGCGGGGAAGGGCACACGGGGCGGGCAGACGGGAACTGCAGCCCGGCAAGCATTCGCGGCCATTGGCTTGGTGGCCAGCGCTGAGGCCGTTGCCTGCCAGGGAAGTGCAGGGGTAGGGGCCGCAGCTGCAAATGCGAGTGGAGCTGCAGCCGTAAAGGCCCCGCGAGAGGCTCCTCGGCTGCTCGTCATGGGGCCTGTCTCTTTTGTTCTTGGAGGATGCAAGCTCTGGTTTCTCAAACGAAGTCACCACCCAAGCGGCCAATCTATTAGAGAGATGGCTTTATATCGTGGAGATGAGGTTCTCGACCATTCGGTTACCAGCCCTCAGTTTTTACCCCAGAAATAAGAATGCTCAAGGGCCAGTGACAGAAGCGTGCGTGTGCACCCCGCTTGGCCGCCGGCCCGCGCAGCGCGCGTCTGTGATGATGCTCTCTGCCTCTGAGGCATCGATCTGAGCGCGCCCTCCCGGCCTGTTTGTGCTGCTGAGCCGTACTTCAACCGCGTTCTCTAAATGTCGTTGTCCAGCAAGAGCTGGGACGAGGCCTGCGGCTCTCAGGCGGTGACGCCCGACCGTGTGGCTGGGACAGGACGGTGCTCCTCGGCTTGGGCGTGTCGCCCCTCGGGGGACCGCCTTCCAATCAGCCCGCTCAGGTGTCAGCCGACAGAGTCGGCTCTGGGTCGCTGAGGCACAGAAGCGCGCAAACTGCAGGGGAGAGGCCAGCTCTGTTTTACGACACAAGGACACGGCAGCGAGACGCCCTTGGAAGAAACGGTCCGGCGGGTATCACCAGATGGGCTGTTGTTGGAAGTCCCCTAGGGGGTCTGGGACAATTGACCAGAAGTCCTCCTCATTGTGAAATGGAGAGGATTGGAGCCCAAAGTGCGACAAGACTTGGAGAGTAATTGCACGTGGACACAAAATCACAACATCCCCAGAACTACGAGGTGCCGCGACCACACAGGGGTGGTGCTTTAAGCTCCCGTTTTTAGGAAATTACCTGCTGCACCAAATGGGTTGTGACAGTGTTTTCTCAGTGCTGCTCCTCAAAGCCTGTATTCTACTACTACAGCTCGAACACGGGAAATCACAGCGTTTTCTTCCAGGTGGAATTCCAACTTCAAGTGATAGGCGGTAGAGGTATTTCATATATTACACACACACACACACACACACACAGTCATGCCTCAGCACTCATCCACTTCAGGCCTTACCAGACCCGGCACTCGCTGCGTGTTGATGAGAAGAGCTGTCTCAGCACCTGACCCTTGCTCAGGACTCATCTCACCTGCCAGAACTTGTGGGTCACAGCGCCGCCCTGTGAGAGAGGAGGCTTCATCGCTCAGTGCTCATGGGTTTTGGCGCTCGTCCCAAGTTCTGAACAAATGAACCCCGAGCACCAAGGTACCCCTGTGTATGTAGGCATATATATGTGTATATATGTATTTACATGCATATAGTTCCATATATGTATCTTATATAAAGAATATATAATGAAAACGGTGTGTGCAACATTGATGTAACCTGACAGCCGAGGAGAGTGGACTGGAATGCACATACGTGAAACAATGACGCCTTCGCTGTACTAGTCAGTGGGAGTGGTAGAAACTGTTGAGTGAGCCTGTGTACTGTGTGGCTGTTGCATTCAAACTGAGCAGGTAGAGCAATGAATCCGCATCCAATTTTTGCATTAAGCTTGAACATTCCTCTGTGGAAACTATTCTGATGATTCAGAAGGACGCAGCTCTGGGCAACTGGTGACTGGCAGCTTCATTGCGACAACTCGCCTGCTCATGCAGCACGTCTCGTGAAGAGTTCTTTGGCGAAACATCGAGTCACCCAGGTTGCTCAGCCCCGCTACAGCCCAGATTTGGCGCCCTGCAACTTCTGGCTGTTCCTAGAACTAAAATCACTTCTAAAGGGAAGAGATATCTATGAGATTCAGGAAAATACGACGGGGCAGCTGATGGCGACTGGGAGAACTGTGTGAGGCCCCAGGGTGCCTGCTTGGAAGGGGCCTGAGGTGCCGTTGCCCTATGTAGAATATTTTTTCTATCTTACATCTTCTTCAGTAAATGGCTCTTATTTTTCACATCATATGGCTGGATACCTTCTGGACAGACTACACACACACACACACACACACACACACAAACAATTGCAGTTCAGGTAATTTTAGGTTCATCGTCACTTGCCAAAGCAGGTGTCTGAATGTAAATATTAAAATATTTGTTAAGCAGTCAAATTCAGGAGAGTCGAATGCATTTTAATTTCTAGCCCTCATATTCACTAACCTGTTAATGCTTAGTAAACTTCAGTCATATTTACATTTTTCTGAGTTATATTTTTCTGCTTGGATTTTGGCCTCTTGTACTATTTTAGGTAATAAAATCAGGATGATATCACTTGAGAAAACCATTGTTTATTCCATTACTTGCCAAAGAAACAGCCCCCATGAAGCGCATATTCTGTCCGCATCGTTCCTAACTCCCCTCCCCCCTGCCCCCCCCCCCGCAGCATCCCAGTAACAGTCACGGCTCCCTTCAGGTGTTTCTGGTTTTCTTCGTACCTGTCTGTTTCCAAAAACGATCTGATCATCAAACTCTGATCATCTAATTCTGATCATCAGTTGATTATCTAATTCTCACAAAGGTGTAATTGTGTAAAGTTGTGTGATTTTATGGGTCAGAAAACCAAGTCTTTGGTGAGACGCAGACTTATCGGTCCCAGGATGTGGGCTACAGAGTCCTGCGTCCACCACCAGCCAGGCCCAGGCCTCTCAGCAGGTGGGTGGCGGCGTCGGCCTGTGTCCCCATCTGTGAAATGAAGACCAAATGCGATGAAGAAGGTACAGGTGTTCTGCTGTTGCAGGGTAATGTGTGACTGCGGCCCAGAGCTATGAAAAGGTTAGATCTAGTGCTCACAGAGCGCAGGACAGGCACAGCGACCTCAACGACTGTGTTTCGGTTGTCCCCAGGCCCTGAGGACGACGCGGTGAAGTCGAAGAGAGCGTTCCGGAGCCAGGCGCTGGTGAGCCAGAGCGCGGAGGCCGAGCTGGCGCTGGAGGCGGACGACGACGCCGTCAGCCTGCTGCAGGAGAAGGAGGTGGACAGCCTGGCAGGTGCGTTCCCGCCGCTGGCTGGCGGCCCGGGGTGAGGGGCAGCCGGGGCCGCGGATTTAATGCCGGCCTCCTGCTCCACGAGTGGGCGGGGCTGTGCGCCTTAGATGAATGTTAGTAATTCACTTTATCTCATCTCTAACGTTAAAGAGAGGTAAACATATGTCAAATACAGATTTTCCTAACAGTGAATAGCATCTACTTTCTATGTACTGAGGAGCCGCTTTTTAATACAAAGGGATGAGTGTGTAGCGCATGTTCCCCGTCTTGCTGCCTAAGCAACGGGGAGGGGCAGCATGGCAGGCTCCGCGGTGCACACGGGACCTGATGCCAGCAACTCGGGAGAAGGCCCTTCTGCCAGGTGACAGTGGATTTGCCACGTCTTCCCTGCTGTCCCTCTTTGGGATGTGCCTCCCATTCTGGTTTTTGGTCTCTGTCCCCACTCTGCGAATCCCTGCCACCCGCAGACACCCTCCCCTGGCCGCCCTCAGCGCCCACCTGCCTGGCGCTGGGCTACGGGAAGGCAGAGCGGCCTCTGCAGGGCCCCGGGGGGATCTAGGGGTCTGGCGGCGTTGGTCCTTCGCGTTTTTAAAATCTCACAAGAGCAGATTGCTTCATGAAGGCGCACGTACAATTTTACACACAATTTCTGAGGGTTCGTGGACTCCTGGAACCATATCTTAGATCTCAAGTTCAAGGTAAACACTCCGTGTTAGAGCCTCAAAGAGCGGCTGAGTCCCCTCGCCCCTGTATTTCGGCCCGTGCAGCATTGGGCGACTGCGGCCACTGGAAAGGAGCGGACTCGCAGTCGGCACTCTGTTTATAACAGAGCGCTCCCGTGGCCAGAGACGTGCCGGGAGTTCTTGGCTTGCTTCACGGATGCCGCCACTGAAGGTCGCTCCTGTTGCTAGAGATGATGCTGTCGGACATGGGCAGCTCTCCCTCTTCTGGAAAATGTTCAGTACGGTTATTCGAATACCGTTTCCTGGGTGTGCCTGTGGTATTCACATTTCTTTATCATAAAAACTATTTTTTCTATTTAAAAGTAACCTTGAATCTATAAACAAATGTTTGCCTCAAATTCCTAAGTAAATGTTCAAATTTTGGTTTTTGTAGTTTTGTGGTTTGTGTTAATAACTCAGAGATTTTATCTGAGGCCATTTGGAAGTGAAAGCCAATGAAGCCCGTTATTTCCTTTTGCCCACAGGCTTGTTTTCTCTTGGTCTTATTCTTGATCCTGAAGAATTAGAGAAAATTCACATACATGATTCCTGACCTTTTTAGATAATGTGTTGCCTTTCTTCCTTCACATCTGCAAACAGACATGTTCAATAATTATACTTCAGTTTTGACTCTTTGCTCCTTAGTCCCCACTAAAAGTAATTAGTTAGTTTATACAAATTTGGCTGGCACATTGAAGTTTCTTGTAGTAAGATCTGCACAGTAGTAATAGAGGTAAAATCCAACAAAGACTGAGAACTCCTTTATATTTCTCTCATTTAATGGTAGCTAGAGTAATTCCTAACATTAATATATGCTTATAAACAAAATTCCCAACATAACATTACGTTAAAATACCTAAAGAACAATGAGAGCATGCTTGAAGGAAACTATTGAAAAATTACATCTTGACCAGCCCAGGCTGGCCGGACTCCCCTCACTTCTGGAAATCTCCAGCCCATTTGTCTTTGAGCAGATCTGGTCCCATTCATTCAGAGGCACCCGGTCCTCACTCACACCTCTTTTGTCTGAGAAACCTTACAAACTGTCATAAGATCTCGATCCCCCACCCAGCCATGGTGTTCATCTTTAAAACAGTGATCCGCAGATGTGCTCCTGCACCTGGACGGCAGTGCGGGGGAGTCTGAGGAGCAGGGAGCGCAGGCGGCAGGCCCGCCAGCAGGGCCACGGAAAGGTCGTTTTTGGAAGTTAATCACAAAGCAGTATTCTTCTTAGATTTAAAAAATCCGCTAGTAATGAAGTTGCAGAGCACATGGATGTGTAACTTCCTATGTTGCTCTGACAAACTCTTGCGTAGATCGTTCTTTTCTGTGTCTCAGAAATTAAAGTGTGTTCACCAGCGCCTTCCATATATATAACTTAGCATTGTAAGTAGCCTGATGGGTGCTAAACTGCTTAAAGAAAACTTCGCTCTCACAGGAGACGTAAGTCCAAATGAGCAGCCAGGAGGTCATAAAAGATATGTCCAAAAATAATATAATCTGATATGTGATATCTGGAAATATATGTAAAATAAGAAATGCCTATTTTCCATCTACAAGATGAAAATTACAGGTTATCTTCCCATGATTTAATGATTTGGCTTATATATTATTCATATAAGTATACCTTCCAAAATATAAAAGTAATTATTGTTCTTAGATTTTAGATTTTATATGAATGTATACACCATTTTTATAATAATAATGGTAAATCTAAACCTGCTGATGAGCATAATTCCTCTTCCTGTTTACAAAACGCTGTCCTGCTTGACAGACGCGCGGATGAGGAGACTGTGCTTTGTAATTTGTCAACACTTAATATCACCAATCGAGTTACGTTCAGGAGGGAAAAATGTACTAGTCAGAATAGAAAAATGAGGGCAATTGCCAACTTAGTTAAGATTAATTCTGTTTTTTTCAGTTTAAAATGTAGGATCAATTTCAGATAATAGGAGGAAGAAAAAGACCAAGAGCCACATGTCCTGAAGGAACCAGGCAGTGTTTCCAGGGTTCATATGCGCGGTGACCTATTTAATGATCGCAACTCCCTAATGAGATGCTATTATGAGGCTGACTTTACAAATGAGGGTAGAGGGGCCAGGAGAGAGTATGTGCACGGTTTGAACTAAAATGCACCAAAGAGCATATTTACGTGCAGATCTGTACGCACCTAGAGACTCTTCTAAAATGATGTGAAACCAGAGCCTCCGTTTACGTCACCTTTCACACCGGCTTTCTGATACCGCACTTAGGCATCTGGGAATAGGCATAATCATTCATTGCGGTTTTATCTGTGTGTTCTCCAGAATCATTCTGGTAAGTTTTAAAAATCCGATAGTGTATTTGTAGCACAATTTTATTTAAATATTGACCGTTGCGCATGTTTTCTCCATTTTCTTTGGAGTTTTCTCGTTTTAATGAAGATAAACTATTCCACAATGTTTTAAAGATGTGAATGTCACACAATTTTCTGTTTCACTTTTAGTTCCTTTTCTTCCCAAGCTGTTCATCTCAACAGGCAAGTTAAATGTGTGTGATTAGGAATTGCTCAGCTGACTATGTACTGTAGCAAATGGCTAACATCATAATTGAAAAGTATGACAATCATGTAATTATAATATTAATAACACCTAACTTAGTTTATTTTAATTGCTTTTTTCGTTTTTACTAATTCAGCAAATTGATTTAGGACCTAAGTTTCCTTATCTAACTAAAGTTTTTAACTTACTATATTATGTTTATCACTTAAAATATTTTATTTAAAACATTGAAATTAGTACATGTTACATGATTTTAATCCAAAATCTATTTGAATTTGAAACAGATCAGTTCTGTAAATTATTTTAAAATATTTTGATAAAAGTATCAAAAATATTTTAGGTGTTATTACCAACCATCTATAGACCTATTTCATGTTAAGTAACTGAAAAGGTTTTTTACAGGCCTATGTCAGTGTCCAAATTTCTTTTTTTACCTAAAATATTTTTCATTCTTCTCTATTCTACAGTCTCTTTTATCTCACCCTATCAAAATCTCTGCTCAATTTAAGAGCTATTTAAAACATTTTATGAAGGAGTAGTCACTGGCCAGCCTTATCACCTCATAATATATTTTTGGTAACAACTTTATTGAATAGCATTCATACACCATCCAATGGACCCCTATAAAGTGCAAAATTGAGTGCATTTTAGTCTGGTCACAGAGTTGTGCAACTATTACCAAAATTTTAGAACATTTTATCAGCCCCAAAAAGAACCTTTACGCTCTTGGGCCACTACCCTCAGTTTCCCCATCTGCTGCCCACAAAGCCGTGGAGGACCCCGCCCGCGCTTTTGGCTCCATAGATGTGTCTGCGGGCACCTTTCACGCAAATAGGATCGTAGCGTGCGGTCCTCTGTGACTCACTCTCGTACTCAGCGTGGTTCACTCCAACAGGGTCGCTCCGCGTTGCCGCGCATTGGTGCGGGTTGTAGCGCATTGGCGCGCGTTGCGGCACGTTGACTCGCGTGTGCCCTGTTCTCAGCAAATGACGCTGCGTTCCTGCGGCTGCGCCACCTCGTGTTCGCCGTCCCTCGGCTGGTGGACGGGTGGTCTGCCTGCCGCTTTTGGCGGCTGTGATTAGTGCGGCCATGAACCCCCATGCACAGCATCTTAGGCGAGCCCGTGTTCTCATTTCCGGGCACAACCGAGGCGTGGGGTTGCTGGGCCTAATGGAAACTTTCTGTTCACCCTTCTGGCAACCTGCTGGACTGTCTTCCGTGGTGGCTGCCTCGTTTTATGTCCCCATAGCAGTGTGTGCGTGTCTGGCTTCTCCACATCCTTCACGATGCTGGTTGTTATCCCTCTTCTTGTGGCCGCCCCATGAAGTTGTACTTATGCCATTCTCTGGATGTTTTCTCTCTCCTTTTCGACTGTAAATTCCTTCAGGGTAGCGACCATACTGGACGTGCCTTTGAACCGTGAAGATACCTTCCCCTAACACAATTGCATGCCCTTAGAAGGTTTTCACTGACAGAGCTCACATAGGTAAAGCAAACTGGAGAGCCGAGGTAATTACCTAGTTAATATATACCCAAAACAGAATACAGATCACAACTTATTTTGAGCTCGAAGTAGCAGCTCATCTGCTCATTCCTATTGAGACATTTCAGACAATGACTCCCCGCTTGCCTGGTGCAGGGCAGGGCCCCTGCCGCCGAGCCCGCTGCATCCCGTCTCCGGTGCACTGTCGTTTTAACTGAAGGCCTCTTCAGGCCAAGATACCGCTGTGACTCCGAACCG